AATAAAATTTTTTTTCAAAATAGCAATATTAATCTCAGCAAAATTTTGATAAATTCTTGGCTAAGACTTTAGAGGAAAGCAAAAGTTCTCACGGTAGGGGGATGTGAGCAGCCAGGAGGCAATTTTCTCTGGCTCCAAAAGATTCTACAATCTTGAGGTATATTTTTAATTTATTCAAATGCAAGATTAGATTTAAAAAATCTGAGAAACACTAAGAATTTATTCTAATCACCCGTGATATTCCCTAGACCGGAGCGCAGTGCTTTACATACAGCAGGATCTATTTTTATTACTTGTAAAAGTTTTCTCCACTTTTGCAGGAGTATACAGCGGGATTTAAATAAGCAGTTGAGGACTGAAGTCCACCCGGGAAGCCCGAGTTCTAGGCCAGCTCCTTAGCCCTGCCACACGCCAATACAACCACCAAAGTCAAATCCCTTAACTCAACTTTAAATATATTCCTAAAGCAGAAAGTATTCTGGCAGTAAATCTTAGAGCTCACAGCGACTAGTGGAAAAAAAATCATCTGCGGAGGCGCAGATTTTAGCTTAAAGGATTTGGTAGCACTTTAAAAAAAAAAAAAAGTTAGGGTTGGGTGGAAAGAATCCACCCAAACTTTCCTCAGGAAATTGGATGTTTGCTGAGTAAACAAGCGGTAGTCACAGAAACACCTGCAGCTCCTTGAGACACTCAGGAACCACCACCGCCACCTCCTGGCCACATCCGGGCATTTATCTACGAACTCCTGACGTCCCGACGTCCGAGCCGTTTTGCTTATTTGAAACACATGCACAACCAATCAATCGGCGCCTGCGGGGAGGCGGTCGGAGAGCAGCGACCAATCACCGTCCCTTTAGAGACTCCAGCCTATGGGAAGGAGGTTGACATCACGCGCCAATCGGCATGGCTTTTAGAGAGAGCGGCTCGCTTTTTGAATTGGCTGTGGCGGCCACCGGCGAGGAATGGCGGTACCTGTGAGAGGAGTCGGACTTTGAAGAGCTCGAACACCCAGGGCTTTTTTTGAGAGTGGTGAGGACTCTGTGTGTGAGTGAGGGAGGTGGAAGTGGTCGGGCACCCCCAGAAGCATGGGCTCCTTTGCCTGCGGTCTATATCCCCGCCCCGGTGACCGCGAATTCCGGAGCAGCCCAGCTCAGGCCTCTGGGAACTCCGCCACCCCACCCCAACAGCCGGGCCGTGACGCGGAGTGGGAGCCCTTAGTCCCCGATATTACTGAGCACCTTCACCCCGCACCCGGCTGGATGTCTTTAAGGAAGAGTGTGTTTGAAGGGAGGGAGTTGGGAAAGGGATTTTTGGCAAGCTGCGCACAACTCTGCGGCTCTGGGGGCCTGCATTTGCAGCCTTTAGTGCCTTATCTCAGTACATAGTGGTTTCACTGTAAGATTCATCTTGGCCTCTCTCCAGAAAGTTTAGTTTTTAGTTTTTGCATGTTACAGCCAGGCCAATACCCACTGCCCCGCTTTCAGGAACAGATATGTAGTGGTTAAAAGCACAGCCTCTGGAATCAGCCAGGCTTTGAATCCCTGTTTTACCACTTACTAACTGTGTGACTTATGGGTCTGACTTATGGGAAGTTACTTAACCTCTCTATTCCCAGGTTTCTTTATAAAATGAAGGTAATAGTACCTCCCTTTTAGGATTGCTGCAAAGATTAAATAAGTACAAGTAAAAGGTTTAGGACAATGTCTGCCACATATCAAGGGTTAAATAAATGTTAGTTGTTAATCATGTAATTGTTAATAACACTACCAGTATACCCAGGATTGCATTTTGGTCCCTCACTCTGGAAGGTGATTGCCCCCAAAATACTTAAGTAAAAGGAAACCTAAAGTGAATGTTTGTTTAAATGACAAAGTTTATTTTGGGTATAAAAGGGGGACATGTGTTAATAGTGTATTTAGTCAGAAGCTCCTTGAGTCTGGTCTTGGGTGAGAAGTAAGATGTATAGGTTTATGAACATTGATTGTATTGTAGTTTAGTGGGTTTTTTTTGTTTTTTTTGTTTTTTTTTTTGAGACAGGATCTTGCTCTGTCACCCGGGCTAGAGTGCAGTGGTGTCATCATATCTTACTGCAACCTCAAATTCCTGAGCTCAAGTGATCCTCCTGCCTCAGCCTCCCGAGTTCTGGGACTATATGCCACCACGCTCAGCTAATTTTTCTATTTTTTGTAGAGATGGGAGTCTCGGCTCTTGCTCAGGCTGGTCTCGAACGCATGACCTCAAGCAATCCTCCCACCTGAGCCTCCCACAATGCTAGGATTACAGGTGTGAGCCACCATACCCAGCCTGTAGTTTATTTTGAAAGCTTCTGAAATACAAGAATGTGAAAAAAAGTGATTGTTGTATTTGTTTTCGTAATGGGACTGTTGGATGTTAGCTGTGTCATCAATTTACCATTCATTTCTTTCTCTATAATTTTGAGGCTGTTTTGGCAATAAAGTGATCATATACCATATCATCAGGTACAATTTTAATTATTATTATTATTATTATTGTTTTTTGGAGACAGAGTCTCACTCTGTCTCCTAGGCTAGAGTACACTGGTGTCATCATAGCTTACTGCAACCTCAAACTCCTAGGCTCAAGTGGTCTTCCTGCCTCAGCCTCTATAGTTGCTGGGACTACAGGTGCATGCAACCACACCTGGCTAGTTTTTCTATTTTTTTGTAGAGACAGGGTCTCGTTCCTACTCAGGCTGGTTTCAAACTCCTGAGCTCAAGCGATCCCCCTGCCATGGCCTCCCAGAGTGCTAGGATTACAGGCAAGAGCTGCCGTGCCAGGCCAATTTTAATTATTAATTACCTGTTTTGATGGTCTTTAAAGAGGGAGGCATAGGAGAAAAATGTAAACATTTTCAAATGGTGTTTTTGATTTATTAAAATCTCCCCTCCTTTTCTAATCCTAAAGCAGGTTAGCTTATCTCTTGACTTTATTATTTTAATGTTCTTTTTAGGGAACTTTGAATGAAAGTCTTTTTAAGGCTTTTTCTTATTCATTGGAAATGGTTAAGTATAGAAGATACAAACAACAAAAAACAGTAAGGGCTGGATAGAATTTATTGAGTCTAAATTAAGACTCTTACAACTATTGGAGATTCTTTGGAGAGCCTTAGAATAATGATTGACATGGATGTATGGTAAGACAATAAGAAATAATCACGTTGTGAATATTACTTGAGAATTAATAGTCAATCATTTTAAGACATCATCTGTTCAGTTTTCATAACAATTGCATTTGAAGTGTACTACTATGTCTGTGTCACCTATGTAGAAACTGAGGCTTAACCTGCTAAGTGCAGAGCTGAGACAGGAAAACTGAGTTGCCTGACTTTGAAGTGTGTGACCTAACAACTGTGCTTCAGTCTGTTAGTGTGCAATTTTCACACTACTTATTATCACTATTCAGAAATGATACTGATGATACCTTATTATTTCTCCATGGCATATAATTTAAACTATTACTTTGCTAAGAATTTGGAGGAAGGCATTTGCATATTTTTTTAATCTGAAGAAGTAGATCAGACATGTATCTCTATATAAAGGTGGGGCCTCCTTTATATTTGCCTGATATTTTAGAAATTAACTTCAAGGTAATCAATTTATGTAAAAGCTTATATAAAAATTTCCGAACTGATGAAAGCCTATTAAGCTTTTTATTTATTCCCTGCTTGCTTAACTTTTAAACTTTTAAGTCCTGGAAAATTTAAAGGATTTTCTTTCATAGTCCAGAGTTATATTGGCACTAACACATGCACAGTGGTCTTGTTAAATCTTTTAGAGGAGAGATTTTTTTTTTTTTTTTTGAGACAGAGTCTCACTGTGTGGCCCGGGCTAGAGTGCCGTGGTGTTATCCTAGCTCACAGCAACCTCAAACTCC